CGACTCCATTGATAACTAGAGTCAGGGCGGGGTTATGACTCTTCTGCTGATAGATGTCTGTTGCGCCATGTGCTTTCTACTTGGAGCAACATTACCAGGGTGTCTACAAGTTCGGAATTACCGGAAAGTCCGGAAATGGTACTGATTTTTTAAGGGCGTTCCGAAAATACTGAAAAAGTGCGGAAATTTCGCATGTAGGTCCGGAATTTTTTTCGCAATTTGAGCGGGAAAGTCAAATTTTTGAAATTTTTCGAATTTCGTCAATTGGTGGTACTGAAAAGGTACTGAATTTTTCTCTTGATGAGGTACTGAATTTCTTGGGAATGCACTGAAAAATTATTGTAAGAGTACTGATTTTTGGCCAGCCTGTTTTAGTAGACCCTGATTACACAAAATAAATCTACCTGTCTGAGAATTTCAGGATAGTAATCCTAAAAACTGCACACTGGAAGAAAAACACATTGGATCTAGAGTCCAGACTCTTGAAAACATTTTTTTTTTTTTTATTTAATTTTGTAATTACACATATTGAATTACAACTTATATTACTAGACCTTACGAGTCTTTACAAATTTTCCTTTAAGCCTAATATAATAAAAAAGAAATAAACACCGCTTTATGGATTAAATTAATGAGAATGAAAATGAAGGATGAACAAATGAGATAGAAGTAAAATCCTGTAAAAAGCGGGAGAAAAACTAACTGATATTAACTATAATTATTCCTAGAACTAGATTCTAGAGAATTTTTCTACTAACTATGCTTTCGCCCTGTCAGTCGACTAAGACTGGTAAGGGCCAGAGGCACGAGCCTAACACCGACGGAAATGAGCTGTGCTCAACTCATGTGGTTTGCGTCTTTTTAACCTCCGGGTCTCGGAGCCCCAATCCAAAAGCGCTATTGCTTCGGGATTGGGGTGACCGCCCAGTCTCTCTTCATATCTATTGTACATACGTGAGATGTACATGTCCATCTCTTCGATCCCGAGCTCATCTCTAATATCGATGTTACGCTCGTACCACCTGGCCCCTGCCATTTGTCTGAGTATTTTATTTTGAATTGTCTCAATAATTTTGAGATTGGAACTGGCGGCACACGCCCAAATCTGGCAGCCGTATACCCAGATTGGCCTTAACATTGATTTATAAAGTAAAACTTTATTTTTTAGCTTTAATTTAGATCGCTTTCCGAGAAGCCATAGCATCTGTCTGTGCTTTAAGTCAATTTGCTTTTTCTTATTTAGAATATGCTCCTTCCATTTTAACTTACAGTCCATGGTAAGGCCGAGGTAAGGAGCCTTTTGCGCATGGGGAATAGCAATTTTATTTAGGATCACAGGGACATAAACATATGGTCTTAAGGTAAAGACCACGTTAACTGATTTGGTGGCGTTAAGCGCCGTGCGATCGCGCTCAGTCCAATCCTGGATGTCGTCCAGGCACTCTTGGATGTTAGTGACTGTCTCCTCATATGTGGGCGCGGAGGACGCAACGGCCGTGTCGTCCGCAAAGATCCCAATTTTCCCTTTTTTAGGTTTTGGTACGTCAGCTGTAAAGAGACTAAAGATTAGGGGGGAGAGTACTGAACCTTGAGGTACCCCTGCTCTTATTTTCCTAAATTCAGAGTAAGAGTCTTCAAATCGAACCCTAAAAGATCTATCTGCTAAGTAGGACATTATTAATTGCACGTGGTTCCCAGGCAAGAATTTAGAAAGTTTAAATGCCACTTTAGAATGCCAGACTTTGTCAAATGCCTGGGCGACATCCAAGAAAACTACATTACAAAACTGTTTCTCCTCTAGCGCCTTTTCAATATAAGAAGAGATCCGGTGTAATTGTTCTATTGTGCTATGTTTAGCCCTGAAACCAAACTGCTCATTAGGAAGTAACTTTTTCTTATTTACAATTGTCAGTAAACGTTTAATATATAACTTCTCGAAAAGTTTGCATATCAGGGGAAGTAAGGAGATAGGGCGGTACGAACTAGGGGCTGAAGGAGGTTTTCCGGATTTTAAAATAACAATCACCTCAGCCAATTTCCATTGACTAGGGATGTATTTCAATGACAATGCTGCATTAAAGAGTGCTTCTAATTTTTTGATTGCCGCAGGAGGAAGTTGCTTGAGGATAATTGCTGAGATAAGATCAAAACCTGGACTTTTCTTGATTTTTGTTTTATATTTAATTTCCTTGAAAATTTCGTCATATGTAATTTTGTTGATTTTTTCTGCAGGGAGAAACTTAATATTACCAACTTCTTCCTCTAGTTCGCATTCCTTCTCTGGAGATTCGCAGGGGTTAGGTTGAAATACTTTTTCAAGGTGATCGGCAATAGTATGGGCTTTTTCCTGGCTATTATTTGCCCATTCACCGTCCGGTTTTCTAATTGGGAAGCTAGCTAGGAAAGGACGTTTTAGGGATTTTGTCGCTTTCCAAAGGGTGTAATTATTAGCTTCGCTTGGGCTGAGATTAGCTACAAATTTTTCAAATTTTTCATTACGAAATTCATTAATACGTTTCTCCACTGCCTTGTTTAGTCTATTGTAGAGATTTTTATCAGATTCATGGTGAGTAATCCTTCTCCTCCTTCCCGCTTTGTTTTTACGGTCAATAAGGCTGAGTATTTCCTTTGGAAGAGTGCATTTATGATGAAAATTATTAAAAGTTCTAGCAACCGGCGTGCTTGCTTTTGCAGCCTCTTGGATGCTCGAAATTAATGACTCTGCCTCCTTATCAAGTGTGGAGCAGTCGTTTATTGAAGTTGAGTTATTAATACGGGAAGTTAATAATTCTCGAAATTTTTTCCAGTCTGTTTGAGTAGAAATTAGACAGGGTGGGCGTTTAACTAATACTGGAGTAGCAAATATAGATAAGAAAACCGGCACATGATCTTTTTTTCCCTCTAACACATTGCAAGAAGTTTTGTTATTGAGGTTGAGATTATTGAAGATGAAAAAATCAATTACGTCTGGCTCTTTCAATGGATTACCTGGATAGAAGGTGGGTTGACCCGGAGAGATAAAATCACCTCCGATAAGATTGACTGCAGTTTCAAGATTATCACCTTTCGGGTTAGTTAATCTCGAACCCCATCTGACGTTTTTACAGTTGAAGTCCCCCCCGATAAGAAAGCGAGGACCCAATTTATCAAGTAGACCAGAATAGTCGTCAACTGAGCATCGATGACGTGGTGGAGCGTATAACGCGCTGACATTAAATGGCCCTAGCGATGACTCAATTTGAATAATCACCGCTTGGAAACGTTCTTCTTCTACAATTTCGAGAACAGAGTGTTTAATGTTTTCCCTGATAGCAATAGAGGCTCCCCCCCTAGCGTTATTAGAAGGATGTCGTGAATTATAAAATCTATATCCTTTCAAGTATCCTCTCGATTCCCTAGCAAAATGGGTTTCAGAGAACAATGCTATATCTACGCGTAATTTTGCCATTTTTTCACTAAATTCTAAGAGTTTAGCAGGTTTTAATCCATTCGCATTCCATGCGATAAGATTAAGAATGCTTTCATTTTTGTTGTTCATTTTATCGAGAACTCAACACTCGGCTCATAAGAGCCTGTTCGTATTTTTCCTGTCTCTTACTCATCTCCTCTAGTTGCTTCCTTAATGATTCAATGGTCATTAAGAGTTGACTTATGAGCTCTTCCTGTTGATTAGAGGGTTTCGGGCCGGATACTGCGTCGGCGAAGCTAACTCCTTGTTTAATAGCACTAGGAGGATTTTTTCCCCCTTTTTCTTGAAAACATTGACAAGAAAAAGGACTCTTGATTTAATCAGATTTAAGCTTAAATCAAAAGGAAATCCGCTCAAATTAGGAGGCTTGGTTCTTGATTTAAGCAAAAATCCGATCGAAGCAAGAGTATTTCTTCTTGTCGATGTTTTTAAGAGTCTGGACTCTAGATCCAACGTGTTTCTTTTTCCAGTGTGCCCCAAGTCGACGTCGAGTCATGCCTTCTTACTTCTTCGCCCCTTTTTTTCATTTAAGTGCTCTTTGGCATTGGATTCAGCCTAAACCGACCCCGGTTCATTTCTTATGCTCTATCTCGTGCTCCATTATGGCAACGCCGCGATCCTCCGACTTTCAGCAATTTCTTTCGGTGGTTCGCTCGTTTCCGTCCGACGTCAAATCTGTGAGCGGATTTATATCTGTTGCCGGAGACAATACGAGCCTCGATCCGTCCTCCCACGTTCCTCGCGCGCGTTCTTGTCGTTGCATCCGATCCGCATCCGCGGCAGCGTGCCGAGTTGCAGGCAGCTGTGCAACACCAAGGATTACGTTTTGCATGCACGCCCACCGCTTCTCGTAAATCGGAATCTAATCGAAATAGATTCGTCGCAATGGGAATTGTACCGCGACTCATGGACATTTAAAGTTCATGAGGCATGAGACCGCGTATTTTCTCAAATCAACTTTTAAACGGTGTCGTGTGTGCAAGACCTTACCATTTTTCCGAGCTCGCCCACCACACTGCCGTAACAAGAAAGAGTGTCGTATGTGCGTTCAAATGTTGCCCAATGGGGGGCCGGTCAACAATCCATGGCATTTAGACCACCAACTTTCCTCTCGTAAGACACTGATAAGACAACCTGTCACTCGTCCTCTGAAATTAAGTAAGATTGGCTTGACGCGCAAACAACCACACACACGGATCGAGTCAATAGGAGAGGTCGGACAAAATTTGGAAACTTCAAAAGCTTATAACTCCGCTCACACAAAACTTTGAGGTTTTTAAAGCGGCTCGATTGCTTTCCTCGTGAACTTTTCGTTCAGAGGCACCCTTCAAAGTTGAAAATTTGACGAATTAAACATCAAAATTTTGAATTTTAGTTCAAAATGTCTTGTCCGATCTTTGTGATTGACTCGATCCACTGTGCGTTGGGTGCATCTCGGTTGCGCCTAGTACCCATTCTCAGCGACTGTTTCCCCTTTGAATGCCTCTATGGGAGCTGGACTAATTTCCGACTTTCGCCTTGTGTGTTTCAGCCGTGTGATGAGCCCCGAAGTGGAGATGGGCGGTCAGATCCACCAGCGGACCCAGTCGATGGACTCGATGAGCTCCGGGCACAGCTCGGGCTCCAGCTCCGGGCTCAGCTCACACCTGGATTGCTCCTACGTGAGCGTCAACGCCAGACGAAGAGGCATCACCGTCAAACCCCTCGACGAGCCAGAGGAAGAGAACTCCACCTTTTTCAGGTAAAACCATCATTCTTTCAACACTCACTAGGAGGCTGTGCCCCCTAACCGCTTCGCGGTCCGACCTTCCGTAGCGCCTAGCGCCACCACGGGCCGATAATTAAAATTGATAGACTAAGCAATAGACAAAGAAGACAAAATGAATGTGGAGGGATCCTACATTAAAAAACAGGTTCCGGGCTATGCAGGCATACCGTCCGTTTCGGGCTCTGACGAAACTTCCTGGTGTTGGGGCTATAGCTTCGATTGCTCCGGGTGCTACGCCCGGAACTTTCGGCCTCTGACCCCTGAACGCGGGTAGTAAGTCTATACAGCTCGTAAGTACGGCCTATACGGCCGGAGTTTTTTTCAGCGTCCTATTGGTGAATACGGGTGGTTGCATTGGACAACGGAGGTAGTCAATAGACTAACCAACGGCAACCCACGGATACTGTAAAGTTAGTCCGTCACTTTCTCCCTTAGTTTATGGGAACCACCCATTTCAACCAATAGGATAGCTATATACTCCCAATGTCTTCTTTGCCCATCGCTTTGTCTATCAGTTTCAATAATCATCCCACAGGCGTCATGCGTTATACATTAATCTTATGATTTTATTTGAAAGAGTGAGATAACTCTCGTAGACGATATGTTACAAAATCATGTTTTGACGATCGGTCCCAGAATGTCAAAGAATCGCACACCACTAAGCAAAATACGAAAAATTTGCATGCAAATTCTCCATCATGAACATAATGTTTCCATAGGTGTCATTTTTTGCCCTAAAATTCAAAATTCTCGATCACAGCACAGCACAGCGATACGGACCTTACAATTTAGCAGTCTTTTGAAAATCAATCCATCGTTTCAAAAACAAAATTGGGTGCGGTCTTGTCCTGAATTTTGCTGTAATTTTAGGATTTAAATTGCCTGTAAAAACAACTTGATTTGTCCTAAGAAACTCCTGCAGGTGTGCGGTTATTTGGTCTGGAAAGTCTATCTTTCTGGTGGATTGAGTATTTTATGATGTACTGTAACTGATATAATCTCTCTTTTTTACGACAGGAATGAAAGAGAAACTCCTATTGAGCGAGAAATTCGATTGGCCAGAGAAAGGGAAGAGGAATTGCGAAGAGAGAAAAATAACATTATGAACAATATTATCAAATCCAATGAGAATCCGCCCACACATGTAAGTATCCAATTTTTTCCCCCGAAATGAATAGCCACTGATAGTTTTATTCTAATAAGTACCTATTTCCGAAGATAAAATTCATGGGAATATGATGATATTCCTTCACTGCAAACCTCCAAATAATTAATTTATTTATTAAATATAATTAATTTAATTTTTTTTATCTAATTTATTGTTTTCAATGCAAAATCGGGCTCGGAGAGGAGGGTGGTTGGTTGCTCCTCTTTCTTCCCAATGCCGCATACGTGGTGTTTACGGGGCCCTCTCCTTTGGAATTTCGTTCCCAAGTAGAATAATCTTAGGTGCAATTTTAGGAATATTATTAAGTAATATTATTACATGTTTAATGTATTTTTATGTTTTCAGCAGCAGAATAAAACCATGAACTCTACAAACTTTAGTAGCCGAAATAGTATAAACGTAGAGCAAGAATTACTCATCATTAAAGCAGAAGAAAATATTGATGTTCAATCCAAGGTAACTCGTCATGAATGCTCTTTATTATCTGCATTTGTTGTCTTCTTTTCTGTGGTTTCCTTCACTTTCCAAGGGCATCTTTTTTCGTCATCATATGAAGCGCTTGCATCTTATCAAAAATTATAAAGCTGTATAAATTCCGTGCATTTCCATGAAGATAACTTTCATGCCTACCAGTAAGTTTGTTGCCTATGAGGTGAAATTGAAGGCTAAATTCAAATGGACGCAATTTACCCAAAGGTACACGGGTCGTTTTATTGTTCTCTTCAATTTAAGCAAGCAGCTAGATACCTTATTTGACTAATTTTTGATATTTATTCTGAACTAAAATTGGCAAATACGTTATTTCTAAACTGAGCTAAATTGTAGTTCCCAATTGCAAAATGTAGTCCGATTCTTGTCCCTAGTTGGCTTGTTGCCTAGGCAGCAAAATGGAGATGTTGCATGTGTGAGGAATTTGCGATTTGACTGTTGATTCTTACGTAAAAGTTCACGAGAAACACGACGGTGCCACTGGTTTTCTCTGAAATCAACTACGAAGCTCAAAAAAAGCTCTCAAGTTGAGATCAAAATGGAGGGGATATCCCACGCTATCCTGAGAGTCCACCTCTACATCAAGACAAACTCTCCATCCAAAGATAGGGAGCAAATACATTGACAGGGTTGCCGTGATTTCAGTTTTTGAGTCCCCAAATAAGGTGGCAGCCCTGTCAATGTATTTGCTCCCTATCTTTGCATGGAGAGTTTGTCTTGATGTGGAGGTGGACTCTCAGGATAGCGTAGGATATCCCCTCCATTTTGGCCTCAACTAGAGAGCTTTTTTTGAGCTTGGGAGTTGATTTCAAAGAAAATCAGTGGCACCATTGTGTTTCTCCGAACTTTTTCATAAAAATCAACAGTCAAATCGCAAATTCCTCACACATGCAACATCTCCATTGAAGGCGAGTTTTAAGCCCACGATATCAACATTCACCACAGAAGGATCTGCAACCTACTCTACGCGAGACGCATCGACCTAAAGAAATCTCGCAGAAAAATGGCAATGAGGTTACTTTCAAAGACTTTCCGGTGATATGCAACTACCTTTTATTATGAAATCACTCATGTGTGCTCCTATTTTCGTTGCAGGTTAACCAACTCAACAGCTTGAGCCAAAGAAGTAAGTCAAACGACAAGAAGCCGGCGCCACTTCAGCTGAAGAAGCACCTATCGAAGAGCGTCGTGAACCTGAGCTGTGCAAAAGAACTCGAGAGCGAGCTGACCGTGCCATCACCGACGAGCCCCGCCGCCCCCAACTCCCACTTCAAGAAGTTCGTCGGCGCCCCCGCCACGCAGAAGCGCGGGCTCATGAAAAGGTTCCTGGAATCGCGAGGCAAACTCGGCTCCACTTTCACCCTCAACGCCCCCGCTCTGAATAGTGAACCAATCAAAAAACTCTCCACCTTCAGTAGTCCCAACTCTAATCAAAACTGTGTCTCTGTAGTCAATGCGCCACCTCGCAAACATTATGTTAAGAAAATTCAGGTAAGTTTCCCAATACTTCAAAGACACGCATAGAAAAAAAGGAGATGTTTCGCATCTTAAGGTTTGTTTACCCTGTGACGTAGGTCGGTACAACCTGGCCAGCGAAATCCGGAATTCGAAGTAGGTATGAAAAACGGACCGTCATAACCCATTTTTTTTGCTTAAATCAACTCATGATATAATTTCAAGCACTTTTTATGGAATGAATTTTTTCATAAATTACACCATCTCCAAGAAAATCGATGATAAAAGTCGTTGTGCCGACCTACGTCATCAGAAAAATTCCAAGATGCCCGAAATGCAAACACCTCCTTTTTTTCTCTATGAAAGACACGCACTTTTCCAACATTTTTTGGTTCCTTCCCTGGTAAAAGTTGGCAGTAGAATCTGTGTTCCAAAATACCATAGACCTACAGCCAGCTGTAAGATTTCCAATAGCTTCTATAGCCGGCAACACAATTTCTTATGGCCTTTTATATCCGATGGCGATTAAGCAACAGCCGGGCGATAAAGTGTATGCTAAACGTTACTAATTACTTGTCTAGGACTTAGTGAGTTTTTGAACTACCGCTCTCTTTTTGGGCCGTAGTATCTTGATTTATTTTGCGAGGAAAGCTACGTACTTTTGAAGGACGCCTGCCATTCCTAATATGTTGGAGCGCCTTCAATTTCGTATGATACTGTGTAATACCTCTAGTGTGAAATAGTTGCTTCAAGCGCCGTGGTACGCTGCGGCGCGGCGCGGCGGGCGGGCAGCCAGCGCGAAACGCGCATTGGCGCCTACGAACCTAACAGGGATACTTCACGCATCGCGCAATGCGTGAAGTATCCCTGTTAGGTTTGTAGGCGCCAGTGCGCCGCCGCTCCGCTTTGTGTTAGGCTCTAATATTTAATCTCTGCAGTCAGCGTTTTTCAACTCATGACTTTGAAATGTTTGCACACTCTGTATGGATTATTCTCATTTTAATTGATGAAAAAAAAATAATGTGCGTTTTGTAAATATTAAGGTGATTCCGTACAAACTTAAGGATTTACAAAGCACACGAATTTCTACACAATTTCTTATAGCCTTTCATAGCCGATGACGATAGAGCTATAGCCAGGCGATAAACTGCATAGCCCGGTGACAAGAACCATAGCGCGGCTGTATAATTTTTGATCGCTTCGTACAGCCCGGCTGTATGATTTCTTCCGCTTTCCACAGCCAGCTATATGATTTTCTATCGCCTTCGAATGCCGGTTATAAGAACTCCCATGGTATGTTGAAACGTAGCTCCTATCGCCAATTTTTACCAGGGTTCTCCCCCCCTCCCCCATTAAAGCGTTGCTTATCGTAACTATCTGATCGTAGCGTAACTGATTCCCAAAGGTGGGGGACAGAGCCGGAGATCCGCCTACAAAATAAGCTTTCTAAATTGACGTGGAGGCTCGGAAAAAAATAAAATTTTATGGGTAATTGATTCCAAGGAATCCAAAGTTGAGCGTCCTGTCGTCCTGTTGGGGCACAGAGGGATTTACCATGCGTGCCGGCTTTATTGCGATCAGTTATTCGCCTCCAAAAACCTGGATAGACTAAGTGAGTTGCTTAGGAGCCGTTGCAGTTTATCATTCCAGGGTATTCGCATTACAATCAATTCTCCTTCAAAACTCTGGCACGCAAAGTGAGCGACCCAGAAGCCCTAATAGTACCGACGCGATACTGACTTTCCTAGGCCCTCAAAAATAAATAAATAAATAAATAAATAAATAAATGTATCTGCAAGCTAGCGTCTTCAAATATTAAACGCTGTGCACGGATAAAAATATTTCCCATCGATAAGGATTTTTTAATAAATGTTCAATTTTTGTTTCAGAACAAAGAAGAAAATAGTAGCATTGGAACTAGGCCTGGTTACAAGTCGGCAGAAGAAAAAATTCAAAATGAATTGATGGAAATGAGAAGACGAGAGGAAGAGCTGAGGTAAGTTGGCACTGGCACAGTGACACGGATAATATTGTGTCATGAAGATTTAAATTTAGTTTCCACACATCTACAATTGATTTGACTTTTACCGTTCTTACTCAAGGAGCAGTACCCTTTAAAAAGCTTTTAGAAATACTGATAAATTTTAAATGCCATCTCTTCAAAAAAATCGTAGAAATTTTACCAACTATAAGTCAGTACCTAAGCTTCTCTTGGTTTTTTTAATTCGACTTTTTAGTTTGATTGATTGATTATATTTTTTGTTAATGAGATTTATTCGGGTTTAACCACAATTAGCATAAACGTTTAATTTACATAAAAGTATTACAAATTGTAGCAAAGGTAAGAGTATATTTCCTCGTTTCCTAATGGTCGGAAGAAAAAACAAAATTATTGTCTTATAATCTAAATTTGTGTGCATACTCGCTGTCAAACAGGTGTTGACACACCGGAACTGCCATTTGGCATTACTTCGGTATTTTTAGTTTGATACACTATCTAATTTTTGTACCCTCTGATTTTCCTATTTTTTTTTTCCAGACGACAGAGAGCATTCTCTTTGGCTAGATCACAACCAAATTTATTAAGTCTAATTGACGGTGAGGGGGAAATTGTAGATAACGAAAAAGAAAAAGATATTGAAATCCTAGACAGACTGCCACCAATGTCCAAACTCCGCACCGCTTTGAGCAATCCCAATCTCCTTGATGTTGATGAAAAGGTATGTACTCCGAAAACTCTTGTCTTTTTGATTGAAGAATATCCTCCAACCATCTCTTTTTTGATAATATAGGATCAAATTGAACACATCATTCTTCACGAATGAAAAATATTTTTCATTGGTAAAAACCATCCATACATTTATATGTATTCTGTGCAAGTCCATCTCAACTGTATCCATTCACGGTGGATGAAAAAGAAAATTTCAAAACCCAAATTATTTTCTTACGCTGTGTTCGAGAGAGAAAAACTTTAGAAGTTTCTAGTAGTGTATTGGGTTTGGTTTTTAACCAATTAGTCTCTCATGATTTGCATTTTTCCAATGCCACATATGTGGTATTGAAAATAAAAATTTCAACACATAATCTTTTAAATTTACAAATACAGAGTGTTTTGAGATATCTTTAATGAATGAAGACTTCGTATCATCAAAAATGACAGTTTTGAGAAAAGTGATGAATTTACGTTTGCATGATTGCAATGCATACAATTATGTTACTTATCTTTTAATTAGCTTTAACTGTTACTTAAACTAACTTTTAACTGTGTCTTTAATTAACTTGTTTAAGTGTCACTTTAATTAACTGTTACTTAACTTTTAATTTTTATTTTTCATTTTCCTTTCAGCCCGTGCAGAAAAAAATTCAGCAGCGGAAGAAAAGTGCTTTGATTACTGAATGGGAGAATCGAATCCAGAAAAATATAGAATAAGTAACACATCAACTACTCTTTGGTGTATGCTCTTTGTCAGGATATACTTTAACTTCTAAACGGACACGTGGACCAAAAATATTTACATAGTGTGATTTTTCGAATAGCATAACTGCATTGTGAATACATAAAAAAGGTGCCCGCATAGGTATTACAGCTTAACTGCTGTCATTGTTGGGACAAAAGAAGAGGCGCTCATTAAATTTAAGAGAAATAGTACCCTAATAATCCTAAACTTACTGCATCCTATAATTGTCTATCAGCAAAGGTAAAGCAGTGCATTTAATTTAGTTCTTGTATTTCTAAAACTGCAGGTGCCTATTTTTCTGTGGAACTTGTTTGTATGTTTCATATTACTTAATTTTTTTATGATCAATTTATTTATAAGGAGTGGCAGTTCATGCCTGATTTTTGCATTTAAATTCACTCCCGGTGTAACTGAAAAAATCACTGAAAAAGCGTATCTTTCGAGAAAGACCATAATCAAAATACTAAGTCAATCGTACGACTTAGATTCTCTTCCTTCCTAAGTCCTTTTGGATTTCAAATGCAATTTTATTTTTTTATACTGTTTTATATTGTTTTTTATTTGTAAGTAATTTTTAGATTATATCCTTTTAAATTACCGGTAAGTTTTAACTACCTATCCGTATCAAAGATTCATTGAAAAGCATCTTAAATGGACCAGTAGCTCATAATTAGTAATAATTCAAGGTCAAAGGTGCCTTTACTCTCAAATATTTTTCATAAAAACAACTTAGAAATTGTATGTTGTTTCACCTCTCATTTTACCCAACCCATTTTTGTTCTTCAAAATTTTCCGATTTTATGAATAATCTTTATTTGGGACACAGATTTTTCATGGGAAATGTTTCGCTAAGGAGTAAAAAAGAAATCTACTTTTGAGACTACTTATTACCTGGTTGCATTTTTATAATTAAATTTTCTTATGAACTGGAAAGTTGAGCTGTGATTTTAGTCATTTTAAGTCATACTTGGGTCTAAATTTTAATCTCTTCCCTACATTTGTTGAGTCAAGGTTGATAATTAGGACACTTTAATTTGGCTCTATTACACTATAAGTAAGGCATAAACCTAGATACTTTTTTTTTTTTCAAGAGAAATTGGAAATGAGATGTGAGCATTAGAAAGAGACGACTCGAATTGTGCTCAATCTAACTATGACTTTTTTGTCTTGTTCAAAAGGCAAATCATTAGAACTAATCATCTACTTGCCTAAGTAAAAATAACTCTTTTGAATTTCCTATTTGTTTGTCTTCTTCTCTGAAGAGACGATGAAGGGAAATAAATCATAGTTCCCAGTACCTCAAAAGTTCACTGCATCTTAGCCATGAAACTCTGGGCCATCTCACCTTGATTTATTAACAAAACTGAAACAAGTATTTTCAGTGGAATTGCATGAATATTTTTTGAAAATATGCTACATTTGTACATTTTTAAAACATTAAAATATATTTTGTTGAGAAATAAATTTCTTTGTATTTGTAATGTGACTTCCATTTTTTGCATCTTGATTTGATCATTGCAACCTTCAGTTAAGGAACCAAATATGACTTCCATTTTTTGCCTCTTGATTTGATCATTGCAACCTTCAGTTAAGGAACCATTTATCAAATAGGTACACATGTAATTCTAAACTTTGAATTTTTCAACCCCTCCCTCATAACACTTTTTTGACCAGCGGTGAGGCGTGAATAATCGATTATCGATATTTCTCCATCTGAAACGATGGAAAAGGATCAATTATTAAGGTGTTCATTGCGAACACCCTGTATATCGATCCTTCTTTATAGGTTTAAATGGCAGATCAATCGCAAAGCACTTCAAGCCACTGTTTTTGACATATGTCATCCTTCAAATAAAAGAAAAATGGAACAGGAAATATGCAACACCCTTGCCCAAAATAAATAGTTTTTCGGTTCCACTATTGATATGCACATTGATTATTGTGCTGGAGGATTCAAAACAAAAATAAAAACGAGGCTCATTATGTTAACAAAACTTTTTTTCCTTTTTTTGAAATTTGTGATTCCAAATAACAAAATAAAACAAGAAGACACACAAAATAAAGAACAGAGATTTAAAACAATATTTCCCTAGGATTTGTAATGGATAGGTAGGTAAATTAATGTATGGTACACATATTAGGCATTGAAACAGATGATAAATAAGATTAGGGGATCAAATCGATGATTATTTAATTACTTTATTGTATTATTATGATAATTAACTTAAAATTTTTTATTCATTTACTTTATAACACATTCAAATTGGGGTTCAGGAGTGACACAGTAAAGACAGAATTCATCATCAATCTCCTGACCATAAGGGTGAAAGATATCCTGCCTCCGATATTTCTTGCCCTTGCTTAATTTCTGAAAAAAAACATTTTAAAACCTAAAATACACACTTCCAGAACTCAAGCATTTGTAAAAAGTATGGATTGGTTATCCTTCACGGAGTACGGTATTTGCAAAGAGATGAAGGCCAGCCTCTGTCTTCGGTGCGTCACTCAGTAACATGTGACTGAAGTTAACATTCATAAAAAGGAATCTTTGTTAGTTCCTTTTCCTGGATAACTTACAGGATAAACTCTAGAAATAGATAACAGTTATAACATAAATGATGAAAACCAAGGGCATAGCTTGAGTATGAAAATACGAAGTGGCGGCTTTAGGATAGAGGAACAACGACTTGAACATAAGAGACAGGGAAGTACCCCGTTCGCCCATTCAAACTTCCTTCGTACCAGTTTTCGTCTATTCTGTTTAGCAAAGTTATTGTGTCTCCTTCCTGTTGACAAATACATACAACATTTCTATTATTCATCAAATTATTTATAAAGAAAAAAAACCTTAAACCGGAAAAACTAAAAAAAAAATTGCAGCAACACAGCATCATTTGAGAGACTGCTAAAATTTGAGGTGGGCAAAAATTTAAAGAAAAATGATAACTATCTTTTTGGGACATTGGGATTTTTAACAGCTATGTAAGAAAGAGAGAGATGGAGCTTCTGAGGAAATCAGGGAATTCTGACGAGAATTTTGAGGGAATTGTGAAATAAAGCTACAAGAAAAAAGTCAGATTGAGGCAATGGGCTGACACCTTGAAACATTTTGAGCTACTCTCATATTTTTCTCTCGACATTCTAAGAGGACAAACTTCTCTCAGGACGATCGACAATTTTCTTCATTCAAACCAGATAAATCTGAAAGACTACACAGTTTTTGAACTGAATATTTTCAAACAACAAATTTAGAAATGGGCCTGTTGCAAACTTTTGCTAGAGCAAAAATAAGAGTTGTTTCTTATAGATAATGCCTCAAAAATCACGATGAGCGCATCGGCAAAGTCTGAAATGCACTCATAACTTCACAGTCTGCGTAAGAAATTTGCGGTTTTTTGAGCTTCCCGCTTCAAAAGCGATACTACGGCACAGGTGAACATTTTGTAAGAGGAGTCGTTCCATCGTCGGCAATACTCATCATGGCCGACGCCAATCCGCCAAAACACGTGTGATGGGACGAGATAATACCTGAACTGGATTAGACCAGATAACAATCGGCGTGTTTTAACGTTCATGTTTTCCACGCCCGCATTGATTGACCTTGAACTCTCCTCGAATTACGCGCAAAACTGCGCGCAAGTGTCGGCCATGATGAATATCGCCGACGATGGAGCGACTCCTCTAACAAAATGTTCACCTGTGCTGTAGTATCGCTTTTGAAGCGGGTAGCTTAAAAAAACGCAAATTTCTTACGCAGATTGTGAAGTTATGAGTGCATTTCAGACTTTGCTGATGCGCTCATCGTGATTTTTTAGGCATTATCTATAAGAAACAACTCTTATTTTTGCTCTAGCAAAAGTTTGCAACAGGCCCATTGTGAATTCATCCCCAGTATCATACTTCAGATGACAAGTTACATAAAGAAATTAAGAAAATGACAGTCACTGAGCAAGCAACTAAGAGATTTGCAAGCAAAATGCGCGTCATTAAAATTAAATAACCACCATTCACGATACATTAAACTATAAAAAATGAAAGAGGGGGAAATATCAAGTTACTTAAATTTGGTAGTTCATGAAAAAGAGGCTAATAATTTGTTAACTGAAACATAATGTGGTTCATCTTATGAGATTAAAAGTTTTTCCATGATTGACAATAAGACAAATTGATGATTTCAACCCACAGAGCAGAAATAATAGATCAGTAGTAATAAGTAAGCTAGTTTAACAGCAATAGACAATTTATTGCTATATAACTTCAATTTAATTGCAAATTTCTTATACCCGTAAAGTGAAAACGTGCTGTAAACAGCAATTTTTCATTATCAAAGAAAATTATTTCATGGTCCAATGTTTAAATTAGATAGTTATTACCATTGTGATTCATAGGTACATGATGTATTTTCAAAAATATGTTGAACTATGTTCACATCAAATTTTTGAAGATTATGGGGCTATTTGAGTTCCATTTATTGCTTTCACATATCTACCTTCAACAACTCTGCAATTTAAGATATTGTCAAACAGTCAACTAACCTTGAAGCCTAATTCTCCAGGATTTTCCGGCTCAAAATCATAGAGACCAGTTGCACATGGTTGACTAGGATGACTTGGTGATGGTTTATTTTGATGGACCGGAGAGGGGACAGGGGAAGCTGTAAAGTAAAAAAGCAATTAATATTCTTCAGTAAGAAAGAAAAGAAAAAGTAAAATTCTCTAGTTTTATATCATTCATTTTTTAAGAGAAAGATATTCATAAGTCACAATTAATAATGGAGGGCATAAGGTTCAAACAGAAAAAAAATTTTTGCTTACTATGAGTACGTAATGTTGCTTTGCTTGTGTCAACAATTAAGGCATAATTGGTTTTATGAAAAATAGATGGAAAAGGGGGAAGGGATCCAATCATTTTATAATGATCTCTTGGGACAGGTCCGGAAATTTTTTATCTTTAACAAGAAAGATGTTCTCTACGTTTTATCTAAAATCAACTTTCATTACGTATGGTTTACCATTTCAAAAAAACAAGGATCTCGAAGTTATTATTATTTACAGTTGTCATGAAATAGAACCAATTCTGTGGAACAGGATACAAAATGTGCAAATAATACACAAAATCAACCGCTGAGCAGTTTAATGACACCATAATTAAGTAATCAGTGTAAGCCATACAATACTGAAACAGTTTTGAACTCGGTGACATAATGTATGGTGTAAAATGTTTACATTTTATATGATAATGCTCCATTCGTCTGTATATTACCTTCACCATGTAAGCATGCATCATCTGTTATCAAATGTGTCTCTATTTCAAAGACGAACCAGAAACTAACAGGAAAGTATTCATATAAGAAGATCCTTGTACCAGAGATTTATTTTCTGGGCCTTAGAATTGTAATTAATTTATAGTTAGGGACATTATGAAACAAAGTTGGCATTGTAAGTTCAGAATTATGGATACACATGGCAGTTAGAGGATAAGAAAGTTAAACGTTAGGAGGGTTCATACTTCAAATGAAATGTTGCGTGCACTCAGAATAGAACTACTGGCACTCTCCTGAGTGAAAGAAGAGACCAGAGCCTGGCACCGAATTTTTTTTTAGAAAATGCTCTCAGTAAGAATTAGGTTGCAACAAGCTTAGTTTATTTATAAAAGGATTTTTTAAAGAGTGGCATATTCATCAGAGTCTCAGTAAGCTGGAATCGGAGAAGTTTGAACAATGAACATAGCTTGAAACAATAGCTTTTGCTTCCAAAAACTTTCTCATTACATAATTGATTTTTTTTTTCATGAGTTGAGTGACTAATAATGTTACTTTTGCCATAAGAAGCAATATAAAACAATGTTAAGGATTAAAAAAGTTATAAAGGGACAAAACAAATACCACAGGGGAAAAGAAAGGATAGCAAGGAAGAAATGAGGTTACAAACCGTTAGTGGATCTGGGGTTGTTATTGGCTGCCAACTCTAGCTGGTTGGGCTTGCCGTGTTCAGGCGAACTCATGCTCATGCCTGCAAGCGGAAAGCAAAACGTATTGACAACTCTAAAAGATCCAAGAGCCACCATTCTGAGTACATATGGGGCCGGTCACAGAGTTGTTTAAAATACACATTTGACTGGCACGGAATAAGGCAAAAAATTGGATGTCAATGCTTTAGCGATAAAATGTTTTGCCTTAATCATCACTATGATCAAAAAGAGTGATGATCATACAGTGCCAGCCAAAGGAGGAGCAACAGGGTTCATGCAACCAAAACGAAAACCAGAGAACTCACATTTTGACAACATTTTTAAAGACACTTGACTGAAAATTCAAAGACTTATGGGAAATTTTTATAATTTGGTGAAAGTTCTCAAAGGACAGATATGACATGTAAAATTTTCGTCCAAAAGTCCGCAAGACCGGTTGATGCATACACACGTTGGACACTTAAAATTCACGCAATGATGAGCAAACATTCAGTTTTATACCTAGGTCCAAATGAGAACTAAAAAAATGCATTACTCAGGAATTAGATTCCAAATTCTGCAGTTCAAGAACTTTCAAGTGAAACTTTCCCCATGAATCAAGTACTATCAAGAACTTGAAAATCTGAAAAAATTTAAGGATATTGAAAAACACTTTCAAGGCTGCACAAACCCTGAGAACATGATAAGGTGATCAACATGATGGACCAAGACTACCTTCTCCCTTGATACACAATGGGCTTCCGTGAAAAATTGAGAAACTTCTTGAATTCTACATCGGTGGCAATATATTAAAGGTCTTGGATAGTAAAAATTAAACGTAAAATAAATACTTCATATTCAATCTGAGAAAGAAAACAGTGCATGAAGAAGCCTTGATCTCCCATGATATTCTGTTTTGGCTCTTGAGAATGTAATTTGGATAAAAAAATCATTTTAATTCGATGATGCAAAGCAAGTTTTGAAGAGAGAATGAAATTCCAAAGTTATCCAAGCAGAGAAAAGAAGAATGGTTACGTTGTTCAAAAGCTTTAAATCTGCGAAAACGATGAAAATGTTAGCCCGCTTACGAATGCAGCATTCAAAGATTGATTACCTCCACCACACAGTCAGAACCCACCACCTTCAAGCTGACCTGATTGTTGAGGGAACTTACGAAAAGGTCTAAAAGAACTATTGGTCCAATTATTAGTGTCACTGAGACCAACATGGAAAACACTCTCACCGTTGATTTCCTCCAACCCGGTTTCGACGTGCAGGTCTGCAAGCGTCTTGGGTACAAATTCAGTCTTGGGTCTTTGTGCTGCTTCGTCTCTCCTGCTCAAACAGACAAACATACACATCAATAATAGGTTGCGGTTTAAGGGATCATTCAAAATTAAAAATAAATGTATGTCTGTTAGTGGGAATAGAGACCTCACCTTAGTGAATGGAAGCAATCTTTTAGCGAGGCTGTTTTGATCAAGTTGGCTTGAAAATGTTCCAAAAATTAAGATGCCAACACTTCACTTAATTCGTTTTTGTCTGAATAGGGAAAGTGGAGCTGCATTTCAACCACACAATTTTAAGCTTCAAATAATACAGATTGCTTGTAACTTTTAATAAACATTTTTCAAAACAACCTATTTTAAAATTGCCAACTTCAAACTGTCGGATGGATTATATGGTGAAACACAAACTTCAAACAAATACCACACAACGAAATTTCACAATTCCACCGATGTCTAGAAGAAATCAGGCTGAATAATGACCAACTTACTTCTCTTGTAAGTTTTCAACTGCGACATTCAGAATCTCAACACACTGCTGATGATAATCTAGGAGACCCTCTGCAAATGTTGTCAGTTGAGAGATTTGCTCGACCTAGATAGAAACAAATGAGGAAACATACAATTATCAGAAATATTCATCTGGTTTGCATTTCTTACATTTGATAGCGCTTTTTTAATTGAAACTTCTTCTCTGTAATGGTACACTATGTGATAACCAAAATCATCAATGAAATCCTTAGGGTTATTCAGCGAGATAGATGTTCTAAGTTTCTCACAATTATTGAATGTTTGAAAATTAACAGCAGAAAATTGGCAGCTGAAAAAATTCCTTGGACTTCTTAATTTTGGAAAACAAAAACGTTTTGGGAAAAATGGAAAAACCCCATACATTAGTCGCCCTTAGCTTTTTGATTGTCCATCCTTTTTTGAATAGTTAAAAATTGTAGCGTTACAACTTTCCTTAAGGTCCAGGTATGTCATATTGACAGGTTGATACTTAAATCTTGATTCATCACAACATCGTGGAGTCAAATTGGAGTTATAAGAAGATGGTTATTCTCAACGTGCAATTTCTCACAGTAACAGCTTTTGAGGTGTAACACTCACCTCCGAAAGCTACACAAGCATTAAAGTTAATCAATAGTTCAATACTATTGATATTCAACTCTGTTTTGTGAATGACAATATGTGAAAAACCTTCCATGACCAAAAATTGAATCACCAATTTTTTCTTTGAAACGTAATGGAGAACTCAACAACAGATTTTAGCATGATTTAGATTGACGTTTTTAACTCTGAACTGCACCAAAATTTGAAACGATAAGAAAAAATCTTTAGTGCTGTGACTTACCAGCCGCAAAATTATCCATCAATCTGTCAGTAAGACACATCCAGATACAGCAATGTTTTAACGTCGTAAATTGCAATTTTTCAAAATCTAATAGACTGTTAGGAAGCTAGGGATGTTTACTTTCAGGGTCTTTTCAATTATTACCGAAAAATCTTTTTTTGCTAAAACTATAAGCTCATAAGCATTTTTTTTCAGTCATCTCTCGTATCTGTGAGGCTTTTCTCTAAAATTTTTTTTGCCAAAGCAGTTACTCCACTCATCAATAAATCTTAAAGTCATAGGAAAACTAGATACAGACCTACACAACTCCTTAGCTTTTAAAAACAAGTTGTTCTTCAGTTTTAGGTCTAGAAAAAAAGATTTAAGAAAGAAACAAATAAAAAAATTAACTCACATCATTTTCCAATAAATTGAACATCCCGAGCTGGGCTAGATGTAATGACTCTGCGAATTTTTCCTCTGCCTGCTTGACCTCATCATCTGTAATTTGAGAACCTAACTCAGCCAAGAGCCGAAGCAAATTAAAATCAAATAATAAAAACGAAAACAAGCGGGGAAAAATAAAACGAAAAAATAATCCAAAAAAAGAATAGTGACTCCAAAAATAAACTTACAGATACTTATCATTCTCAATTAGTCATCACCATTAATTTTTCAATGGTGCTATTATAGTCTTTCTTATTTCTGAATCTCTTTTGTATTGTGAAGGTATTTCCCAGTGAAGGAAACATTTGAGACTGTCTTTTAATCTTGAAAATAATGAGATGTCGGGTGGGGCAAAAAAAATGAAACTCAATAAAACCAAAAGTGTTGACACAGAAAAACAATAAAATGAAAAAGAAAATCATAAATATTCATAGAAGAAAGTAAAAAACAAAATTATAATGAAAAACTGAACAGCAAAAGCTTGAAAGGAAGCAAACACCCTGATTCAAGAATCATTTTCATGAGTCCCTCCTTTCTATCTGGAAACTTAAAATACCACAAGGATTCAATGTTTCCACACTCATTACAAAAAAGAGGATTCTCATGCAGATAAGAATATAGGTTTTTGTATTCAAGCTCTTGTTGTTGCCAAAAAAATAAACAAATCTTGCTTCTTCAACATTCAATTAAGTCTTACAAACTAATTTACTACAAATCAAAGCACATTTTCCTCTCGAAACAAATGGTAATCAAATGGGTATCAAATGGTTTTGATGTAATTATCTTGTCTCAGCACCCTGTGTGATGAGTATGGGCGCACTGACTACCTACATAAAATTTTTAAACATTTTAAAAATGAAAAAAATCATACTGTTTTAACATAGAGCTCTCAAAATAACTCTTTCAAAGGAATAGCAGACATACTGATTCAAGAATTGTACTGTTTTGTGTAAGAAAAGCAACTTCTAGACTTGTAGAAATAGGATGCAGAAATCTGTGTTGAAAAGTCTGACGACCCAACTTTGTTGGCCATTGAATTTAAAACTAGAAAAATCGATAATGAAGTGTATACCTTTTGCTTGTCTCCTTCGTTTACAGTCAAAATCTAAACGACGCCCATGCAACTTTTTCCGGTGATACTGAAAAGGAAAAAAATCGGAAAATTTGAGAGATGTCACACTGTCACTGCTTCTTTTGACAATTACAATAATGCTCTTCAAAAGTATTACATAACATTTCAAGTCAAATTTTGTATGTTTTTTCCAGAGAAATACTCTATTTATTGTTGGATGGTTTTATTTGGTTAGTTATTTTTCATTAAAAGACCTTTAAAGTTTAATGTGAATATAATAGATAATTTTTAAGCCAAGCCTACAAAGCAGTGGTGGAAGAGAGTAAAAATCTTGGGGTTTTTTATACTTAAATTAAATACAGAATAAAGTTCATTAAGTAGAATATATTGCAGAGTGTCATTGAATTGTCAATTCTGACTCATTGTAACTAACAGTTAATGGGAATTCTTCTCCTGAAATTCAACGATTTTTGAAAAAAACAAAATTCAGGCAAAGCCTGCGTTCTCATGTAAAGTAACTCATCCCAAGGCTAAATAGATTGATTTTCACCAATACTGTAATTAAAGATAAGACTAGTTTTTCTTCTCTTTTTCAACCATAACAGTTAATTTTTTTTCCCAAGATTTATCATTGAGAAAAACCTAGTTAAACCTAAAAAAATCATGCACAAAATTCCCCTACTTTAATATAAACTTATAGATTATCACTTACAATGACTTCTTTAATGTCTTTGGTTTGTAACGAGTGTAAAGGCTCCAAAAAGTTTTGTTTTGTATTGTCATCAAGAGAGTATTTGACATCTGCCATCTGTTTCATAGTTTCTCCCATTTCTTGTAATGCCTGACCTGAAAAATATTAGATAGAGTAATGAATTTACAGAAAAAATGCTCTGTCATGAGAGCAAAATAGAATGAATGTACCAGTATTCACAGAAATACTAACCACTTTCATAGTAAGATGGGCAAGAGCAAAACATTAGCTTCGTTTCATAAGAAGGAAGTTGAGGAGATATGTTTTTGATCAAAGAGGTCTTAAACTTTGTCATGTTTGATGATGATCTAAGTGGACGAAATAGATTTGAGAGGAAGAGATAAAGAAAGTACAACACTCTTGCATTGATATCCATCAATGATAACATCGAAAGCACATACATTTGTAGGAAGTATATTACATAGGGAGGGTGGAAACCATGCAGATTTGTCAAGATGCTATAATTTTTTAAAAAATATCACCACCCTTGTGCATTAAGAAGTTTCGATCAAAGCCGAATGGAGCCAAAGCTGAGACTTCTTAATGCTCAAAAGAGATTAATTTTTTTTTAAAAATTCTATCATTTTGGCCAATGACTTTGGTGGACCTTCTAAAATACGTATTCAGCTTAACATTGTCCACCCAAGTTTCATTGTTCATCCAATTTCTCATTATCTCTTACAAAGTTTTACTTAGTTCACATAAATATTTGTACATTGGTGATTGTTTGCAAAAAAAAGGACCCAATGAACCCATGCTCATTCATAGCAAATCAAAAAGTTGGTTTCTTTTTAGCAAATCTACATTTTTTTAACTCCTAACCGTCATGATTCCGATTTGGTTTGAAATTTTGCAGCGTTTTTGAACAACATAAGTATAAAACACTCTTCTAAGCAATAATATCAATACCTCAATTTTGAATGTTCCAGCACTGATGTTCTTTTTTCTGTAAAAAATCATATTTAATGAAATGATCTAACTGTCCCAACATATTTACAGCATCAGTAGGACAAAAGTTGCAGCATCCATTAAGGAACATTTAAAGGGGTCTCCTATGCTTATAATTTGGTCTTACAATATGGAAAAAAATAATAGCTAAAATATGTATCACGTTTATCTGAAATCAAGTCTCATAAGCAAATGATGGACATAGGCCCAAGAGCCGCGGTGTAACTTACCAAATAAGCTATCATCGCCTAATTTCTTGCCGTACATGACCATACATTCGCCCAAGATTCCCTCTGATTGCGGATATGAGGAGGCTTTGGCTTGACCGCTTAACTTGGAGATTCCTTTGACGGCAGCCATTTTGGCTCTGGCAGTTGGATTAGGCTGTAAGAATTCTTTGGTTTTGAGCTGCAGTTCCTCCACCAGTTCACATGTGACGTCGATTTTCTGAGCAAAGAAAAGAAACCAATTTCACAAAATTGATATGAAATGCCAACAAGAAGCTCCAGATATTTATTTACTTCATTATTTACTATTTACTTTTTTTATTTCTTTCCTTCTGGCAATCAAAGACACCCACGATCGGTAAATAAAAACTCTAAGTTAACTGAAAATAAAGGTAGGTTTTCTTTTATATGTATATGATGTTGAGTTTGGATAAGATATTGAGTGAATTTTAATGAGCGCCAAGGTAGACTTTATCTTACTCCACACTGCAGTCTTTAACCAGGAAAATGGTAAGTTCTACCAGGACACTCATTAACTTCCCTAATTGTTTGGTCAAAATAAAAAAAGAAGTGGGTGTGCAGAGCCTTAAGTTGCCAAACTTTATGTCAGTGTTTTTTGACACTTATTGGACAACTTCAATGAATGTACAGCAAATTAAAAATATGATATGAGGTCAGGCAAAATGGATCGTACGGTGTTAGGGGGGGGGGGGGGGGGGTTGAGATAAGTATACTCAGTGCATAAAACTCAGCAGTCTGATGAAGTTAATTCTACATCATTGGCAGAGAAATTAACAAAACAAAACGAAACAAAGAAAAAGAAAGATGGTGGAATCGTTGAAATTCAACACTTACCCTCTCCATTTCTACGAACTCCATGTCCAGTTTGGTACCCTCCGCTCCGCCCATTTTCTCAGTCATATACTGAAAAGAGACAGGCATGCGATTAATACCTATCTGGTAAAATTTAAAAGAAAGGAAACCCTTACCATAGATAGAAATGATGGGGAAAGAAGGTATATTAGACTTTATCAGTCTCTACCACGAACAATGGTGAATCTTCCAAGTTGCAACACTGGATTTCGTTCGTTTGAACGCATGTAAAAATCATAACTGATACTTATCAGATCGGGCTGCCTCGCCTAAAATCGATTGTTTATAATGGATTATATTGAGGACACGCGGTGTTGCCAACCTGCCAGAATCTCAGGTGGTCGAGAATCATGTGCAGGGGAGTCAGAAAAACAGAAAAACTGCGAGAGAAAATCTCGAAAATCATAAAATAAGAAGGCAAAGGGGACATGGTGTTCAGTTTCAGAGAGTTCAGAAGTTTTAGTAGAGAAATCAGTTTATAATCACAGACGACAGCGACGAAATTGTGGTGGGTGGGTCCTGAAAAGAGGGTATTGGAAACAGATTTCCCTCAGCTTGATATGATAGGCAATCCTCGGTTCGTGAAAACTCACTTTGTCCACCCTGTAAAACAGTGGCGTGGCGTGAATTGCGATGTATCGATTGTTATGCCATTTAAATCTATGGTAAAGAATCGATCGTTTAGGTGTTCGCTGCGAACACCCTGTTTGTCGATCCTTTCCCATGGATTTAAATGGCATGACAATCTATATATCGCAATTCACGCCACGCCACTGCTGTAAAATGAGGGTTTAATCTGTATCAACTGTGAAACTCCCAAACCATGTATCTCGGATTGAGACATTGCAGACTTCTTGACATATACTTAATTCGTTTAATAAAAAACTTCTGCTCAACGTCAATTATTGAAACCTCCACGATTTTTTTTTCTCGGTGCGAGGAAAATTCTGAGAAACTTCAAGGAATGATGTTGATTTTTTTTTCACTTAAAAAAGTAAAATAGGCGCTGAGATTTTTAAACGCTGAAACGAGATACGCGGGTTGTGAGTTTCGCCGTCAATATGCAACCGTCTGTGATACGAACTTGTGAGGCACCCAACACTGAGTAATGAGATATTCAAATATAAAAATGTCTACGTATTTGTAAAAATAATTACAATTTTCTTTCTTTCCGACTGTAGGTAACTTTTCAGAAGATTCAGACTTTTTCCGATCGATCCGCGACCAAGTTTAGCGGGAACGAACGAAGTGCATACGTTAAAAAAGCACCTATTTGTAAGGCCTAATCGATGACAAGTGTAAGTCGTTTCTGAAAGAATCTATAAAAATTTGGCTCCCTTCTCCCTGACTATGACCCGATCAATTAGGTACGAATGGAGATGTTGCATGTGTGAGGAATTTGCAATTTGACAATTGATTCTCGTGTAAAAGTACGCGAGAAACACGATGGTGCCACTGGTTTTCTCTGAGGTCCCCCTGGTAAAAATTGGCGATAGGAGCTGCGTTTCAAAATACCATAGGAGTTCTTATAGCCGACTAAAGAGGGCTGTTGAAAATCATCTAGCTGGCTGTAGAAAGCGGAGCAAATCATATAGCCGGGCTATACGAAGCTATAAAAAAGTATACAGTCGGGCTATAGTTCCTATCGCCGGGCTTTACACTTTATCGCCATTGGCTATGAAAGGCTATAAGAAATTGTGCAGAAATTCGTGTGCTTTGGAAATCATAAAGTTTGATACGGAACTACCTTTATATTTACAAAACACACATTATATTTTCCTTCAAAACATATTTTTTTTCATCAATTAAAATGAGAATTGTCCATACAGAGTGTGCAAACATTTCAAAATCATGAGTTGAATAACGCTGACTCCGCCAGATTAAATATTAGAGCCTAACACAAAGCGGAGCGGCGACGCACGGGCGCCTACAAACCTAACAGGGATGCTTCCCGCATTGCGCAATGCGTGAAGTATCCCTGTTAGGTTTGTAGGCGCCAATGCGCGTTTCACGCTCTCTGCCCGCCCGCCGCGCCGCAGCGTGCCATGGCTATAAAAGGCTATAAGAAATTGTACAGCCGGCTACAGAAGCTATTGGAAATCTTACAGCCGGCTTTAGGTCTATAGTATTTTGGAACACACATTCTACTGCCAATTTTTACCAGGGCCACTTCAAAGCTCAAAAAGAGCTCTCAAGTTGAGGCTAAAATGGAGGGGAGATCCCACGCTATCCTGAGAGTCCACCTCTACATAAAGACAAACTCTCCACGCAAAGATAGGGAGCAAATACATTAGCAGGATTGCCGTGTTTTCAGTTTTAGAGTCCCCAAATAAAGTGGCAGCCCTGTCAATGTATTTTCTCCCTATCTTTGCATGGAGAGTTTGTCTTGATGTAGAGGTGGACTCTCAGGATAGTGTGGGGTATCCCCTCCATTTTGGCCTCAACTTGAGAGCTTTTTTGAGCTTGGGAGTTGATTTCAGAGAAAACCAGTGGCACCATCGTGTTTCTCGCGAACTTTTACATAAGAATCAACAGTCAAATCGCAAATTCCTCACACAAGCAACATCTCCATTAATCATTGGCCATCAATTAATAATTCAAACAAAATAATTTTTTTTTTCTTTAAAAAAAATGCAGAAAAGAAGAAGAAAAGGGGAGAAATCAAAGGGTAGAAGCTCACCTGATTGGCTTTATTAATCTGTTTTTTCAGCCCTGCGAACGCCATGATGATGCCGGCTCCTTCTCCCTCCTGTTACCTTGCTCCTTCCTCAGTCAAGATTTAGTCTGCACAAAAAAATAACACATTGATCATTATAAACTGGTATCTTCTATCACAGTCGAAACAAGAAAAAGTCAGTGAGGGGGGATAAATAGCTTGCAGTGTGCAAAATAGTTTATCATTATCACGAGTGGTTGGAGGATGAACATTATACAATGATAGTTGAACCGATTGTTTCCCAAATCACGTAAGCGTCAAATTTGCGAATGCGAGAAAAACAAGAGAAACAGTTTTATTCGCTCTGTTGACAATATTCGAATTCCAAAAAAATGTATGTTCTTTCGGAGGGCTATTTTAAAATCAGACACGATTGATTATCCCAGAGAAAACAAAGAAAAAAACAATTGAACAACCCCTCCACCACCAAAATAGAGATTGGCACTTACGCGGTTTGGAAAATAATCGGTCCAATTGTCGTATCAGTGGCCGTGATCGTCTTCCGAAAAAGAGACCATAAACTTTACGTTGAGTTTCAGGTGTTATTACACAGAGGAACGTTTTATGAATATTTTACATCATGGTTTGAAGTTTGTAGTCCGCATGGTTTAAGAAAAGTCTACCTATTTCACCATGTTCTGCACTTAAAATAGTTTGATTAAAATGCAAATTAACGTCTTCCAGCACGAAGTTTAGCCACTTGAAGCTGATTCTTCAGGATGCTAGAGAGGAGGTGGAAAGTTTTGATTCGTCAAATCTGATCGAATTTAATTAAGTCATTTCATTAGACTTCTTTTTTTTCTTCTTTTTTTTTCGAAAATACTAGAAATGTTCTACGGGAACGTTTGACGAGAACACGTCTTTAAGTAGTGTTTCAATTCTTACTANGGGGGGGGGGGGGGGGGGGGGCTTGAGGTTGCCGTGACTAAAATTTCCTTTTGAGGCAAGATTAAACTCGCTGGAATCAAGCAGATGCTGAAGAAAGCATCTATTCTGTTCGATTCAAGATTAATTTCTTTTCAGCGAAAAATTTAAGAATACTCCAGTTTAACTCATTTCACTTTTTTCTCCAGAGTACAACCAGTTTGGTAGTCAATTCGTTGTTTCCCCACGAAAGAACGCAACTAAATTTCAAAGCTGCCCAATTTCCCCACGTAAATTGCGATTTTAACTGGCGAATCTTGGACATTATTTCTGACTGAAAATTTCACAGACTTTTCATCTGATCTCACACAAAAATCATAAAAGTGTTGGAAAAAATTGCACAGGTGCATCTTTGTAAAAAATCGAATTGGTTGAGTCAATTTTTCAACCTTGGAATGGAGTTACATTCGGAAAACGACGTATAAGGCAAATTATCGCGAGTGGATTTGGTCGAGGTTTTAAGTTACCGCCAACCTCCTTAAAAACAGAACGAAATTCCCTCCGAGTGACGGCCGACTGCAACATTTGGTTTTCATGCTGGCAGAAGTGGCGCGACCACATCCAAAATTCTCAATCCACCTCCCTAGAGTCCCTTTATCCTGCGAGTTGAGACAATACCTCCTCATATAATCACAAACGGGAATAAAGATTACCAAGGCCGGATTAAGGGGGTGGCCACATGGGCCGCGGCCCATGGCGGCAAATTTAGGGGGCGGCAAATTTTGCGATTTTTTTAAGTGAAGGTATAAAGCAACTCGGATTCAGAAAAAAATACAAACGAGAAAAGGCGACAAAATCTCTCAGTTCCTGAGAGTACAGTAATTTCGCATTGCGTCAAACACAGCGCGTTCAGCACCGCTCGACGTGAAACGCAAAGCGCCTACAAGACTGTAGGAATACTTCACGCATTGCGTCAAAAACAGTGCGGTCAGCAGCGGTCGACGTGAAACGCATAGCGCCTACAAGACTGTAGAAGTACTTCACGCATTGCGCAAAACACAGTGCGGTCAGCGCAGCGCGGCGGCAGAAGTTAAAATTATTAAACCACATTTATGTTTGCTCTTTCATAATTTTTTCGTTCATTTCTTATAAATGGAGGGCCTTGTCCACACAGAGATAGGTTTAGGGAACTTAACTTTTGCGCAAAGTTCCGTGAAATTTTGCTGGTAGTGTTGACATAGGGCTTCCGCAAAAAATGTGTCCAACACGAATAAACACGTCTTATGCACCCCGGCACGTTCACTTGATGGTTTTTATTGATGTTTTTGTTTGATGAGAAGGGGGCGGCAAAATACAGGCGGCCCATGGGCGGCAAGTAGGTGAATCTGGCCCTGTAGATTACACAAATTGAACGTTTTTCGTAATCTTTGACCGGCTCATCCTCAAATTCCTTTCTCCGTTCCTTCTCTCATTCCGTTCCCTCTTGTCGAACCCGTAATTCCTCGGTCCATCCCAGATTATAATCTTTGCAATTGGTGAAAATGTAATCTTTATTCCCGTTCGTGACACTGTGGAGGCCTAAAATACGGTACCCAATCAGAAATGGATTCAAATTGTCTTAACTCTCAGTATAAAGGTACTCAACGTTGACCAAGATTCATCAAGTAACAGAGTTTAGTTCTTGACTTCAGCGGAGTGTTTTTCTCCTTTGATTCGCAACCCCGTCGATCTGGTTGAAAGTCGTCCAAATTCACTCGCGAAAGTTCGCCTGAAGTCCGTGGGTGTGTGGGTTCTCAGTGATGAGGTCCGATGTTTTTCCAGGGAGGCGACTTGCGGAATCCTTATTCAAATTCACCGGAGACGTTATCTCTTCCGAGGGCGCGGGGGCAGAAAGGTCTTCCAAAACTCATTTCCGGATTAAACATGAGCAGGAATCCTCGTGGGTGAACGACCAAGAATGCGATCATTGCTCTACGTGCTCATGTGCGTTGCCGAACTTTCACGCCGCTGCGTGGCCTCGAATAAACTTTTAGTGCTTGATCCTTGTGCATCGGCCAAAAAGGATTTGAAACTTTCTCAAGCTGCGTCCATAGTATTCACGGAAAAAACTGCGCCGAATTCCTAGGATTCTTCGGCCTCCTGAGGTATAGTGGTTGTAGCGCTTGCCCTAAAGTTGGGAGATCCCGGGTTCGATTCCCAGCCAGGTGACCCGAACTTGATGGTCTCAAAACAACGGTTATCTGGGGCTGGCTTGATTAGGAATAGAGGGAGGGATGGGCTCTTTAGAGACGGTAAAGCGCAAGATCACTGAAAAAAAAATCTCGGTGTATTTACTAAGAAAAGGGTAAAATTACCAAAAATTCAGGGTTCTATTTGATCCCAGTTTTTTCTTGGTAAAATTACCATTTATGGAATTGGTAATTATACCGAGAAATCTTGGTAAAATGATTGAACTTTCTCGGTAATTTTACTGGACCTTGGTAAAAACGCCAATATTTTTTATCGACTGTGGTAGAAATGCCGAGATAAAATGGCAAAGTTACCGAGAATTGATTACCAATAAAAGTGGTATTCTTACCTGAAAAAACAGTAAAAATACCATTTTTTAGGTAAGCTTACCAGTCTGTCTTGGTAAAATTACCACTAATTGGTAAAAAAAAGTGAGATGGTAAAGGTACCAACGGACCGTGGTAAAAACGCCGAGAATTTTTTTTCAGGATTATCCCTTGTGGGATATTTGAAAAAAAAAACGGGATGTTATCACCTAGATTTTACCAGGGGTAAAGTCGCAAGGCTATATACTAATATGGACAGCGGTGGTACCTAACCATTCATTGTATATAAAAACCATCAAATTTCAAACACATGCATATTTGCTGTTGATGTAGAAACAGCTCTCGGAACCCCGGTGAATGACACAATCCATCACTGTGGCAGTGGTGAATCTTGCAAGCAGGCAACATTGGCTGAAGTCGATTTAGAGGAGTGATTTTTTGAAGCGCGTCAGAGAATTGATGACGTTGGTTGCCACCTGTTGCCGGGTTGTCGATTTATCAGTTTACATTCGCAAGTGAATTCGATATTTTCAATTATTCGGATTTCATGGTTTCTGGTACACTCCCCCGCGGAGTCGAATATTATGGAAAAATAATCCGTCGAAGAAGATACTAACAATGACGGTGCGTGGGCTGAAACTTTGAAGGGGGAAAATTTGGAAAAACAAGACAAGGGCTGTAAGGAGGGGTGCTCCATTTAATGGCGGTCCCTCTCCACTGGATAAAAAATTTTAGTTTGAGGTGAATTGTATGGTAATTACCACTAGACTCTATGGTAGCGAGTGCCGTAACTCTAATTGCATTCACCAAAAGTATTATATGGCAAAAGCTGCGAGATGTCTGGATATCTTTACTCTACGGCATTGCCGAGTCAAAAATTATAAAGAGACTCATGATGGTCTTTGCCAATTTTTTTTAACAGTGTCCGGAAAAATTTTGGATTTTGCTTGTATACACCTCGAGCACAAATCTCGGCCGTTTTTCCTGGTAAAATAAACATTTTCCTCCTCTTATGGGGGGGGGGGGGTCGAAAGGAAAGAAATCTCGTCATCATCTTCGGCTAGGCCTCTAATGGAAGAGATCTTATGTCTGTCGGCCAAATATTCAAAAAGAGTTACGAGATATGGCACACCACGGGGAAAAAAGTGTCAGTGGTTGTCCCCCAAAATTGTTCTAATACCCAAATTTGTTGCGGATGATATGGACATTTCCAATTAATTGTGGTAGCACCCCAACTCAAGTTGGGGTAGTACCGCAACATTTGGGTTAGTAACCTAATTTATCGGGATGGTACCACAATTAATTGGGATACTACCACAATTAATTGGAGTATTACACTGGAAAAAAACACATTGGATCTAGAGTCCAGACTCTTGAAAACATTGACAAAACATTGACAAGAAAAAATACTCTTGATTCAATCAGATTTTTGCTTAAATCAAAAGGAAATCCGCTCAAATTAAGAGGCTTGGTTCTTGATTGAAGCAAAAATCCGATTGAATCAAGAGTATTTTTTCTTGTCGATGTTTTTAAGAGTCTGGACTCTAGATCCAATGTGTTTTTTTTTTCAGTGTACCACAATGAATTGGGAATGTCCATATCATCCAACAGTTGGGACTTAGGCCCTACCTCTTTTTCCCGTGGCATCT